CGGGGGCGCGGGGCTTACGGAGGAGGCGGGCGGGGGGATGGAGAAGAGCTCCGTGAAGTTGGGCACCGAGTCGCTGATGAACGTCACGTTCCCATAGACGTGCTGCGGGAAGGCCTTGTCTGCCGACTCGCTACCTCCGGGCCCCGGGGCACCGGCCGAAGCGATCTGCGATGTGCGCACGTGGTAGGGGAAGTTCTTGTTGGCCGCCGAGGGGCGTGTCATGATCTGGACGAGGGGCCAGGTGCAGGTTGAAGACGCACTCACTGTCCAGGCCTCAGGTTGTCTCCATAGACATGGAGCCCTAAGGATTCCCCTGCACTTGGAAACCCCCACGCTTCCCTGCAACCCTTCAAGCGGGATTAGGCGCCTCCTGTGGGCTCTCAAGTGCCCTGGGCTCTGACTTTTTCCTCCTCCACAACTCATTACTCTGCCAATGCTTCTTCCATCAGAGCCCTGATCGCTGAGTTAGTTATCACTAGTTAAGCTTCAGCGTCTTGCGTTGTGCAGTACCATAGCCACTAGCCACATGTGGCTATTTAAATTTAAGTTAATAAAAGTTAAACTAAATTTGTTGTTTCTTAGTCACACTAGCCATATTTAAGTGCTCAATGGCCACATATGGATAGTAGCTATCATATTGAACATCAAAAATTCATAGAATATTTTCATAAACACAGAAAATTCAATTGAACTAGCAGCTTCTAGAATGTTAGCTCCATGAGGGCAGGAACTTGACTGTTCTGTTCCCTGCTGAATCCCTTATATGTGCCAGGTAAGTACCTGGCACATATAAGCTCTCAATAATATTGGTTGAATGTAGAGATGTCTCCCCAATTAGTCTAGTACCATGGTCGGCAAGCTGCGGCTCGCGAGCCACATGCGGCTCTTTGGCCCCTTGAGTGTGGCTCTTCCTAAGCCTTAGGAGTACCCTAATTAAGTTAATAACAATGTACCTACCTATATAGTTTAAGTTTAAAAAATTTGGCTCTCAAAAGAAATTTCAATCGTCGTACTGTTGATATTTGGCTCTGTTGACTAATGAGTTTGCCGACCACTGGTCTAGTAGAAAGGCAGTGCCTGGGAATGAATCTAGTACTGCACCCAAGAAGCCAGCATGACCCCTCTAAGATTGTGCTGAATAAATTAATAAGAAGCTGAAGCCAATCAGCAGTGGAATGTCTGTGGTGGAGCTGGGCTGAGCTAATGTGAGCATTTTTAGGAATGAAACTGGCTGAAGGTGAAATACAGAAGGGGCACAGTGTTTGGTGTTTTGAGCCTGCACCCCACCTCTCAGCCCCACAGCTCACTAAGTGTAGGATCTGGGGCATGTTGATTAAACTCCCCACGCCTCACTGGGGAAAGGGATTGCAGTGCCTACTCAGAAAGATGAGAAAAGGGTGGAAATGAAAACTGGTGCAGAGCCTGGCCCATGGTGGGTTCTCATCACTTCTCTCTCTGCTCCTTTCTGACTTCCTGCAGAGCCTAAAGATGGACCATCCCAGGAAGGGGAGACTGTACTTGAGTGAGGCTTTGGAGTAGCAACTAGAGGACCTGGCCCCCTCCTTCAGCTGAGTACCTTTCCTACACAGCACATGGTAGACCCCTGGGGTCAGGAGCTGGAGCCCTCAGTGATGCCTATTTCCCTCTCATGCCAGCTCTTGTGGTCTGCCGGAGATGGACCAGGTTCAAAGCCCCTGCCCTGCCACCAAAGGCCTTGGAGCCCTGGCCGGTCACCTGCCTTCTCTGGGACTTAGCTTCCCTTCTCTGTATATTGGGTTCAATGACGATTATCCATTCTGTCCTGGGGCTGCTCTGACACTTAGAAAAAGAGGTTAGGAATAAATGCATCTGGGTGTTCCTAGCATGAAACAAAGGCTGTCTTCAGCCAAAAAGGTGTCTCTCTCAGCCTCAGTTTCCCCCTCTGTGAAGTGGGGTGATTATGAGGCTGAGAGAGACACCTTTTGAGACAGGTGCTCACTGAATGGTGGATAGGTGGATAGTGGCTGGATAGATGAATTAATATAAGAACTGTCACCTAGAAGTCTGGATAGGATATAAAACAGAGAAAAGAAGAAGTTTGCTGCTGGTACCCTCTTGATGTCATTCTGATCTAGGCCCCTGAAGCCCCAGCCTGGCCCACCCCAGCTGCTTCTTTCCAAACAATGGCCTGTGACAGATACCAGAGATTGTGTGGGTGAAGGGTGGAGTAGAGACCAAGAGGATTGGGAGAGGCAGTGGGGATACAGAAGAGAAATTCGAGTCTGGGGACACAAGAGCAGGAATGGGAATGGGAAGGGGGGCAAAGAAAGAGGGTGGGTTGGGGGAAGAGCCCAGACACAAGGTGGGAGAGAGGAACAGAAGAGAGCAGAGTCTGAGGGACACAGTAGAGTAGCCTGCAGGAACCTAGCAGACTCTCAATCAGTGTCTATTAAATGGCTGAAGGAATGAAGTGAAAGAGATGGATCAAAAGTTCAGGCAGATCGGGGTGGGAGTCTCACGGCCTATTGGCTTCCCACCCCACCGGGTGCTCATCCTCACCAGGAACACGCCATGAGCATACAAATGGATTCCCAGCTGGATGCCGTTGACAATCTTCTCCCGAGCCCACTTGGGGATCCCAAAGTTGGCAATCAGGGCCATGACAGGAACTGCAAAGAACCTGAAAAGGAGGAATTGAATTGGTAGAGACACTGCCACACGCCCTCCACCCACCCCTACCCCCAACTCCCCTGCCAGACACACACACAGGCCCCAGGTGTGTCCCAAACTGGAGGGAAGTTGTGTGACCTTCAAAAACCAGAGGTTAAAAGGGGCAAGATTTCCACTGGCCTGGGAAATTCTGGGGGGCAAGGACTAGGTTGAATTGAACTCAGTTCCACCCCACCCCACATCCCAGCACCCGGTAGAAAAATCAATAGCTA